TACTAGTACTTCAGAAATCATTCAAGTAATCGAAAGGCTCTATCGATTTCCGTCAAGTAAAGAATATTAAATGAACCATCGTAATCGCATAATTTATGTATGACATAACTATAGACCAGTAACTTGATGACACAAAGTGAGAAATATTCTCAAGATATCGTTCCCGTTTTTGAAAAAATTTTTCCATTGCCACAGCAGCCTGTAGTTATTGAATTTTTGGGTTTAAAATTAAGAACAGGTACTTAATAGATTAAAACAACATATACTTCTTAAGACGTATGTAATAATAAACAATTGCAACTTTCAGTTAAAAAAAAGACTCTCATAATCAAAAACGAGACCTCGATACCGACTAACTTTTGGCTTTGTGTAAAAAATTTTTACCCTATTACATGTTCCTGTGAAGGAAAGACACAAGAAGATCAGATTAAGATCATCTATAAACGAGTTCATGGTCAACAGAAGGGACTAATTGGTGAAATATCATTTAATCATAAATCACAAAAGTTTAAACATATTACTGTTCTTGTAATACCTCTTTTATTCATAGAAGAAACATTGCACAAGATGAAACAACCTGGATCAGGTGTTGTAATTTATATAGATCCCTTAAATTCTGAAATTGGCCCCTTTCAAGCTATACCCATTGATGTTTATGTCTTTGCTGATACATGGGGTATTTATGTGGATGAAGTTGAGATAAATATTACTGGTTTACCACAGTATACTATAGGAATATGTGTACAAGTTGTTGGATCACCAGTAACATTATCAATTTCTGATAAAAATGAATTTAATGTGCCTGTTATTAAGTATGTTAAATGGTGTATTATTTTTTCTTTAAAAAATTTGCATTAGATGTTTTTGAAAAAAGAAAAAATTATTAATAGATATGGAATAGAAGCAGCAGGTGTACGTCTGGAGGATAGAAAGATAGTGTTGAAGAATACAAGTGTAGTGCCTATAGTGATTGATTGGCATACATTCCTGGTTAAACCTCCTACAGAGACAAAGCCTTTTAATGTTGCATTTGATCTCTGCACTCCATTTACTAATAAATTGGCATCAAAACTAAGAGCCAGTAAGCAAAAAAGTGATAGTGAAATGCATTTAGAAGAACATAAAAATGTTCAGAGAACATTTAGAGGCTTGCATACATGTGATTCTATAGAAATCAGTAATGTTACTGATATTTCATCTAGTTATTCGTAAATATGCTTATACAATCTTATAATAATTAATTACTAAGAGTATATTTAATGAATTGATTTAGGGGGTCCTCATGCATGATTATGTCTTGGATGTCTAGTAATGAAACTTCAGATGAAACTGACATTTCCTTTCAGTATTTCAGCAAAAGCTCTATTAGTAAAAGTGATTATGAATATTCACAAGATGATATGTATGAATACTCAGATAAAATTGATCAAAGTGAAGAAAACAAAGACATTGAGTTTAAGTTCTCCATACTTCCTTATTATGGTTTGATTGATACAAAAATATGCACAGTAAGAAAAGAGGAAACTTGAATTATAGTATATTAGTAAGAAAAATATTCTGCAAACATGAGTCATAAAGAAAATATTTCAATATTTCCCAAGGTTACACCCAAAGAAATGTTTATTTTGCCCAAAGATAATGCTTCTTTAATTATCTCTATACAATATGAAAAATATAAAACTATGTACAATATAAAAGATGCCCTTAAAGGAAAATTTATATGCAAAATCCTTGGATATCTAAGAATTGCTCCAAGTGATATGTTTGTATATATTTATAACTAATAACAATAAACTAATGTAAATCATTTACAATTAATTACAGAATATTGTATCATGTTGCAGGTATAGAGATAATTATTGTGCTAGACAGAGTGGATACTACTTTCCTCCCATAGAAATTGATATTACTGCAAATATTATTAAACCTAAATTGCATTTTGATATTTCTAAGTTTGATAGAACATTTACATGCTTTGTCAATGATGTAATGTTAAGTCGAAAAAAAAGATTGGAGTATGTAAAATTACAATTAATACTAGAAAAGATGTTAGAATCACACATTATTAGATTATAACTAATATTTCTAATTTTAGATTGACTAAAACATTTTTCTTATACAACAATGAAAATACTATAATAGAAATAGGTTTGGAAACATATAATCCATTTCACATTAGCTCTGTTTCAATTTATGATTATAAAAATTCATGCAAGCCTGGAATTATATGTGTAAATTCAAAAGGATGTATCGAAGTAATTTATACCTTTGTTTGTTATAAACATAAACTTGAAATAACATTATATTTGTAGGTAGAAATAATGTGCATTATAGAAGCACACTTAATTCAAACCATAATGCACACAAGTTCAAATGAAGAGTTCCATAATTCAAAAATTATATTAAGAGAACCATTGTATATTTTACATTCTGATAAAAGCTACCAGGTTTTGATCATCCTTCTCTATTATTTTACTTGAATTAACATAATTATATATCACATTTATGCAATTCCAGATTGTGGAATTAATTTTGCAAATTTGGTTGCCAATATTAAAACTGTCAGTATATACTTTGGATTTTGGTATTGTATACATAGGAGATACAAAAAAACTAACATTAACAATAAAAAATTTATCAAGTATAATCACTTTTATTATTTTGTTTAATAGTCACATAAATTAGTTCCTATATTACTATGATGTTTTCACTTTTGAACAGTACGTAGTCTAAAATTTACATTGGATAAAAAAGCCCAGAATAAAGATTTTATGATTGATCAAAACCTAGGAGAATTATCAGGTTATTGTGTAAATGAAGACTGGTATTCTACAATCACAATTTCTTTTCAACCAAAGTAACTTAATAAAGTATAAATGTTTTATTATTAATTATGTTCACCTTCATACTATATTACTACCATATCTATAGAAAACCTGGACAATCACTTGAAACATTAGAAATAATATCTGACATTCCATACAATACAGAAGAATGTCAACTATATGGAGAAGGAACATTAGATGAAAAGTATCATACTCCAGGTGTATAAATAAACATGGAATTATAAATTTACGTATATAATTGACTCGTTGAAAATAATTATAAAAAATGTACAAAAAAAGAATTAAAATAATATAAACGTAATTAGTAAAAATTATACTCTATTAAATAATAACAAATACGCAAAATAGAATGTAAATATTCATACCGATAACATAACTCCAGAGTGTTACATAAAGCGCAACGCAACAGGACAATTAACAATTATTAACTGAAAACGTATTAACACTTCAATTTCAACCCCCGCTCGAACCGGTTTTTCATTCGGTTCACGAAAATGTACTTTTTATATTTACGTTTGTGTCGGCGACTTAATTAACGCGATATAATTAAATTCATTCACAAAAAATTAAAGATAATATACGATCACAAACATAACGTCGTACTGCATGATTTGGTCGTTGATAAAATATTCAGTTTTTCCGTAATTACATTATTGGACATCGTAATTAGGAAAAAAACACATTTTCGCTCTCATGAGCGTGGGCCTTTCTGTGAACGTAAGACGTTTATTCACCTATACACTTTCAGAATTTTTGATGACTCGCCGAGTTCGCCACCTACCGAAGTAAACGCGAAACAACGGAGATTTTCACTGTCACGTGATCGGTTTAGCCAATCGGGGAATTTTGAGGGCCCTATACGTGGCATAAGGCATGAATCCTTTCCTCGTCCGCCATTTTGACATACGGTACTTTTCGAGAGTGTTGGTTTTATGTTTTATCGTTTCTCGTGAAAATAATCTTTTTTACTGAAACGTAAGTAACGCAAGTGGCTTATACGGGCAACGTGACATTACGGGGAAGTCTTAATAATCAGACAACGTTTCTAAATAATGGAACTTTGAGCGGGGAACCTTTGACGATTTGCTGGGGAGTAGGTCGAAGGTGACAGACAACCGGGTGTACGCAGTGGCTTCGCAAACCGCACAATATCTTCCGCCTTGCTCGCAATACTTCGGTATTGGCGTTTTAGGTAGCCGATCACGTTTTAAAAGTGCATAGATCACCAGCAAAACGCTCTAGAGTGATCCTTTACGGTATGCTAGTCCGATAATCATAGCGATGTATTAAAATGAGAATCAATAGCGGGCAGCGTGAGCATCTCGTGCGTGCCTCTACACAATTTTTTTTTTGTTCGTTCAGTTCAATTAAAGTCTATGATTTACGTTGTTCCCAACGTTCTTTCATTATCGCTAGCCCCTCGTTAACGTGCAGGTTAGATTTTTCCCCTTTGTGTCATCGTACCAGTACTTTACGCATGTTTCTGCTCATCAGCTCCGTTTGCGTAATTTCAGTTTTTCCATCGACTAAATGTGATTTTTGTTCATTCGTGTAAACGTATTTCCAATTCTTTCATTATTTCGAAAGTTTCGCTGGTTTCATATCGTTCCGTGAAAGTTATCATTTATTTCGAAACGATTTCGTGCCCGTCATGTATTATTGCACGTTGATTATATGGCACATTGTATTCTTGCATATGTCGGGCATATATCTTCTCGCACTAATTTTAAATATCAAATTGATGATAACGAAATTTTGATAAAGTTGTAATTTCGTGATTACATGTTTTATATGTGTGTCCTTTTGCAAATGATGCTCTTGCCCGTATTATTAATTTTTTGGATAATTCATTCTTTTGTAAATGTTTGTGCAAATTTCTGAATAAAATATGGATCAATTTTATATATTCGTACAAATTGCTGTTTAATATTATACATATATAAAATTAAACAACAATTTT